TATAGAGCATTGTTGCCTAATGACAGTTTTTAACCGAAGAATACAGTTTTTGGGTGATTTGAAATATGATTCAAAATAAATATGATCCTGTCGCATTTTGTTCTTACATTTAAAGGACGAAGACTTAATTTTCTCGCGACTTATTTTGTCGACTTTTGATTCGGAATGTCCTGTCATAACAACAATTAATATACGGACACTCACTGACAAAAATGGATTAGGATGGATTTTAGTATGAAAAAAGTACGTTGATTAAATTTAAATCGATTTTAGTATGAAAAAAGTACGTTGATTAAATTTAGAAGATTTTAGTATGAAAAAAGTACGAAGATTAAATTAAAGAGATGAAGATTGAAAATTTAAATCGATTTTTTTCATTCGAGTTTTATCAGTTTCAAATTTTTATTACATTTATTTTTTGATGAATCATTTTTCATTTTACATCCATAGCGTATTGTAGCATAAAAAGACCAAATAAAAAGACCAAAATATCCATAAAATTCTAACCCTTTTCTTGATTAGTTTCATAAGTTTTGGCTTAAAATCTGTTTTACTTTCATGATTTTCTATGATTTTATTGCATAATATTGAGATCGCAATTTAATTTTATCTGACCCTTTTCTGGTTTTTTACACAAGATTTTGCCCATAATCTGATTTACAATGGTTTTCTATGATTTTATTGCAAATTTTTGAGTTTAAAACCTGATTTATGTGGATCATTTCATTGAATTCTATAACATCTGGCACGAGTGCTTATGTTTAAAAAATCGAGATTAAAAAATGGAAATAATTTTTTTAAAGGGTATGTTTTTTCGCCGTGTTAGCAAAAAATCGATTTTAGTGTGTCGGAAAATCCATCGAAATCGATTTAAATCGATTTTTTAGACACTTAAATCGATTTAAAATTTTCAAAAAGATCGATTTAAATCGATTTAAAATCCATTTAAGTTCAAAAAATGTACATGGTTAATCAATTTGGATCGATTTGAAATCGATTTAAAATCAATTTAAATTGACCGGAAAACATTTCTGTCAGTGCGGGGACTAATCAAGCTATCCAGAATAGATTTAGTCTGCATATCTAATCTTCTATAATCTCTCAATACAGTTTAAAAGTAATGCTTATCTGAGATGACACTGCTTTTCGGTATACCATAGGTTTGTTGTCAGGTATTGAATCTCTTAAAATTGGCAATTATATTTTTTGTAGGTTATTGTGATAAATAAACTCTTAATGATCAACCGAATAGTTAATCATTTGGATTTAATGTTTTTTCGCAAGTTATGGGCATTTCTTCTAATTGATAACCGAATGACAAATTCATACTTTATTGGGTAATTGCTTAATATTAGGTCAGTTCTGACGTGACGTGTCATTTTCTAAATCTTGGAAAAAGCGACCGAGTTTTTTGGCATGAAAAGTTTTGAATCAGAAATAAAAAATCTTTGCAAGAAGCGCGAATCAAAACAGTTCCTATATTGGCTTACTGTCAAGAATAGAAAAGAAAAACAATTAACTAGTACAGCTGACGGTGGCTTAAGGTATGTAAAGTCTTGGAAAAAATTATTCGAAAGCTTTGACCGGCTCCAGTTACCTGCCTATAGCAGTTCATCCCTGGAACCCTCATAGATTATTTGCTTCAATGTAGACTAACCCTTCATAATGATTTTCGGGTCTTCATAATGAGTTGTTTTTCCTTGCTAAAAACCTCAATCTAAAGCAACGAGCATGGGGGCGGAGCTGTTTGCATGTGTCCCGCCTAGCATGCGCAACTAAAATAATTACTCAATTTGTTGCGGCGTTTCGCATCAAATTGAGTAATTATTTTAGTTGCGCATGCTAAGCGGGACACATGCAAACAGCTCCGCCCCCATGCTCGTTGCTTTAGATTGAGGTTCTTAGCAAAACTATAATTGATGTGAAAAAAAAAACATTTTTTTCTCTTTCGGAATACTAGCTAGATACAAGTTCCTCGTTAATTAGGTTCATAATTTTTCAAAGCTAAATTTTTTTAAATTCTGCATGTATGAGCGCAAATTGGCATGCGGCCTTTAGCTTAATTAAAACTAAGTAAGTTTCTTAGCAATTGCAGATAAAGTTTATCTGCAAATGCAAAAAAAACTAACTCAATTTTAATTAAACTAATGACCGCATGCCAATTCGCGCTCATACATGCAGAATTAAAAAAAAGTTTTAGCTTTGAAAAATTATGAACCTAATACCTTTAGAGTAATTATGGGATATATGTCAAAATATGGCGAATTTTTTTTTTGAATTTTTTTCAGAAAGAATTTTTTTGAGCTCTTCCCAATCAGTATATTACTTTTTAAAATTTTTAAAACTATAAAACTTGACGGAACAAGATTGTTTCTTTGTTTATCAAAAAGCAATCACCAAAAGTTTTTGACCATTTTTCATGGCCCGGGTTGACAAAAAATGCTTATCATACTATTTCGTATTATGAAAAAAAGGCTTATCATACTAATTCATACTATTTCATAGACCAAAAAAAACTATGAAAATAGCATGATAAGCATTTTTTTCATACCATGAAATTGTATGATAAGCATTTTTTTCCACACATGAAAACACCAAAAATCATTTCATCCGAAACATTTCCCTTGACTTTTTGTCATAAGAAAACCCAGAGTGTAACTGGCAGTTACCACGCAGATAAACTGCATTTGGTGATTTTTGCCACCTACGTTATTTTTTACATTGTTACATGGAATTATATACCAAAAATGTAACACTTTGTATATGGCTAGATAATTTTTGGCTTGAAAGTTTTGGTAGTTGAGAAAAAAAAGACCTGTTTTTTTTAAATTTATTTTTATCTTAGCAATTGAAATAAAAAAAAATAATAATCGTGTTTTTTTTAAAAAAACTCTTTTCGTGATTTCTGGATTTGTTGAGTGACAAACTCGTCCTGGACTACGTTATAAACACAAAAAGTCAAAAATTTTCAAGAAAAAGTTTTTTTTCCGCAAAGATTTTCATTTGAGCACAAAAGCAAGTTTGCAACCAAAAAAGGGATTAAAAATTTTTTACCTCAAATTTGTGTTTTTGCTTATGAAAAAAGGCATATCATACAATTTTTATATATGAAAATTTTATGATAAGTAATTTTTTGACCAAAATTAAAATCATGTTTTTGAAAGTCAAAATGCATTCTTTCGATAAATTTGAAAAAAACTCATGTAAATTTATCCAGAAACATCGTTAAATTAATCTTGAAGATTTTATTTTTTCTATAACAATTTTATGAAAATAATATGATAAGCATTTTTTTTGACCAAAAATAAAATCATGTTTTTTTTGAGCAAAAAAATCAAAAGATAGAAATAGAACAGAAGTCTTTCTCTAAAAAACTTTAATACAGTTTTTAAATTTTGTATGAAAGTTGTATGATAAGCATTTTTTCCATAGTCGCCATATATGAAAATGTATGACAAGCATTTTTCTTTTTTGGACGTCAACCCGGGAGGTTTTAATTTACCAATTAACAGTACCGCCGGCAGTTATTCTTACAAAGTAAAACTTGGATAACTTGGGGAAATTTTATGCTATGGCAACATTTTGGCGCTTTGAGACAAAATATTGTATTTTTATTTATTCAGACGTATATTATCAGTAGATCTTAAACAAAATCACCATTTTTCAATCACTAGGGTTTTTGTGTTAATCCGGTTTGCTCAATGTTTGCAAAACAAATATGATTTTTGATTGCACATACTGATAACCTTTTGACATCTTGGATTGCTCTTTGAGACACATGCTGATACGATTCGCCACATTTTGAGGTCTTGTTTCAAATTTTTCTGCATCAAAACGTTACCTGCGGTAAATTCTCGTTTTAAACCTGGTTGAACTGTTTGACAAAAAATCCTGGAATTGTCAAAAAAATTTTATATTGACAATTTTTGCAGGATTTAAAGGACGCTTTTTTCAGCGAGTTTTTTTTTCAGGGTATCATCTGAAAATTTTCTCATTGAATACATGTGCAAAAAAACATCCGTTTTTTTTCTAATAACAATCCATGCCGTAGAAGAAATGCTTAGGCGATTTTTTGGACATTAATAGTATCAATCCAAATCTTGAACAAGTAGCTTTAAAAACTTGCTCATATTTTTTTTCCTGTCAGCAATGTTTTCAGAAGATTTTGCAGATCATACAAAAACGATCAAAACAGTCATTAAAATGATATGTACCGTGCTGTGTCTTATAACAGTTTGACAATAAAACTCAAAAATAATTAGTTATTGTGCGATGAGTCTCTTAACACATGCTGTGAATTTAAAAAACTGAATTATAAAGAAAGAAGTTTTCATTACAGTTCACAGTTCTAATGCGAAATTTATTGTTATTTGAGAACTTTACAAAACTAGCGCTTTCTTAGATTATTGTGTCAAAAACAATTGAGCGATGTCAATTTTCGTTTGTTGCCGTTCAGATCTCAAAAAATTCCGTTGAGTAAGTGGAAAAAACATTTTTTTTCCAATAAATGTATAATTTTGATGACGTTGTCTGCAAATACACCTGTTCAGAATAATTAGCTGATGATATTTCCATTAAAAATATATTATTTCACACTTTGCATGGTAAATCTATTGTGATCATTTTCTTTGAAGTTTTATCTTTATTTTCAGCTATCGGCGTTTAGAAAAATTCATTTTTTTTTGTTTGAACTTACGAAAGTAGCTTTTATTAAAAATGGTGGCATTTATTTCCGCTGTTTTAGCAGCAATTTTCCTTAATATATTAAATAAATTTCAAAAGAATTATTCTTAAAAAGTCTTTGTTAATCTCAATTCCTTGATACATATTAAAATCTTTGTCGAAATAACTGTAAATTGTGAATCCGTGGTAAATTTTTTTCGAATTGAAATATAGGTCTATATATTTTTTTTACTTTTCTACCGGAATTGGTACGATTTGAGGACCTTTGAAAATATTTCCGTTAGTTTATTTTAAACCGCAATAGTCGCGTCAAAACCTGTGTGCTGTATTTCTATTCGTTGGTATTTCCTCTTTCACAATTTGTGAATTTGCAGTCCTTTTTGGAAGGGATTTAGGGAAATTGGGGCTATTTATTGTCTCCTGGTTATCCTCAAATTTTCTCAAATATTCCCCCAAATCCTCAAAATAATCCTGGGCTATCTATCGTTTCCTAAAAAATGGGCAGCACAAATTCCTTCTGGTAAAACTGCAATTCCAGTTCAAAAAGAGATTGACCTGTTTTAAACAAAAGGATGCAATCTTTTAAAAATTGAACATGAAAAAAAGTTTATTTTACTTCCGCTTGTTTAAAAGTTTATCTTGAATCACTCGCCAAACAGAAATTTTTTCTTTGAAATCTAGAGGTACAATTATCAAAATATAAGAAGTCCAATTGTTGCATGTCCGCTACCGCCTTGATTAAAGCATTAATATGCCCAAAGTTTTATTTTACCCAAGCTTATCAAGGAAAGTGACATAAAATGACATTATCAATGAAATCGTGCTGACTTCGTATTTGTTATTTCAAGAAATTGTAAGGGTAAAGTGATAAAACATCATTTTGATTAATAAAAAAACTGTTATTTGTGATTTCAAACTAAAATGAAAGGTGCTACTCTGCCGACTTCGTTCGAATCATGTCGCTTTATCAGTCTGTCGGCTCTCCTACCATTCATTCTTGTATTTCAAGTCGCGCATTCGGCTTCCGAGTTGATGTACGAGTCGCCTCTTGTCATTCAGCTTATGAAAAATGCGTCTAAATATGTTCGCCCAGTAAAAAATCAGAATATGCCGACTAATGTTACCTTCAGACTTAATCTATACCAGATTTTGGGCGCAGATACAGTTAACCAGGTAATTTTTTATTATATTTTTTGACTAACTTTAACAAGCACCTTATTTGTGTTGTTTAAATTGCTTAATTCACTTTCAAAGCAGAGGAAGGAGCTTTGGTGCAGGGCTCACTTAATTCCAGGCGCTCGTGTGCCGTTACTTATTTTAGAGTTCAGGGGCGAATGTAGAGTTTTGCCAGTGGGGCTGAAAGTTATTTAAAAAGTTCGATGTTTTTTTTTGAATCCACTAAAATTTATTTACCGAGTTTTTCGTAAAGTGCGAAGATCGAAAAAAAAAGAAAAAAACGCGCTTTTGCCTATTGCTCCCTTCTCCTAATTATTTTACATTGGTCGAAGGCGCCATTAAAAAATCGTAACCAACAAAATCGACCCCTCCCAAAGCTGTTGAATCAATTATTTGGGTTATTGGAAGATATTTTGAAAGAAAAAATCACTCAAGAGTCCAGACAAATTGATATGATTATTTTTTCGCTTTCAACCTTTTATAAATTATTGGATTCATTGGGTTCAGTTAGATTAAATGAAAAAAAATCTACTTTTTTCAATTACTTTAATTCATTCTGTTTTGGGAGCTATATATAACCTATTGTTCACAACCCAAGGAAATTTACACAAGAAACGATTTAAGTACTTCGATTCGTATTTTTTTTCTTTTTCATTAAATTGGCTTTCAAATTTTTTTGTGGCGGTCACAATATATGGTATTTGCAAAACTAGCAATGTTTTTGGTTGAGATTTGTTATTTTATTAGATCAAATCATATCTAGCTTGCAATTTCGAACCGAAATATTGTAGAAGGAAAGTGAAATATTGTTGAAGAAGTAGAAAATTTGATATGAAGAACCCACTTTGACCTCCAAGCACAAAAAACGCTTATCAGACATTTTCAAGCCACAAAATTGTTTATTATAAAATTTTGTGCAATGAGTTTATAGAGAAATGCTTATCGTACAATTTTCATTTCTTCTTTACATTGCTAGAAAAACGTTCCGAGTGAAATTTCCAAATTTCTGGAGAACTTTTTTTGATGCAAAATTAATTCTATGCTCAAGCAAACAATTTTCAAACAGAAAAGTTCGCGTGGAACAATATGGAAAAATTTGCACATTATTGTCCGTAACTTGAATGTTGAATGTTTCGAGCAAATGAATCAAAGTTGACTTTGATTTTTTTTTGCGACGTGAAAATTAATATTTTCATGTTTTTGCAGGATAGGATAGAATTTATTCTGTCGGAAAAATCGACCGCAGTTTTCAACCACCAAACTTTTTAAAGTAAATGTTTTTTTAGCCAAATACAAGTTACGATATCTTGTTATAACTCATAGTGATGTTTGATAGATCAACTCAACTGGCAAATTTTAAATGCAGAGAACATTTTGGGTATTGCCTTTTCGGACAGGAACAAAAATGCAGCAAAACGTGAATTTTTCTACTACCGAAACTTGCTTGTCATATAACTTTTACATATAGAAAAAGTTTATCAAGTAGTTTCCAATTAAATGAGCAAAAAGATATTCAAGGCATTTTTTCATTTATCAAAACTGTATGACATGCATTTTTGGTCAACCGGGAAGCTTAAATATGTAAACACTAATAACTGAAGCTCTGCAACTTTGAAAGGATACTTTGATGATGTTTACTACCTTAATAAAATTTTTATAGACTTCGACGTAACTTAAGTTAGAGCTGGTTTCGAAACACAAGTAGCCCTTGAAAAACAATACAGGAACTTAAAAACTTTTTGATTATATGAGTGAAATTTTGTAGAAGAATTAGAAAAATTGATATGAAGAACCCACTTTGACCTCCAAGCACAAAAAACGCTTATCAGACATTTTCATGCCACAAAGTTGTTTATTATACAATTTTGTGCAATGAGTTTATAGAGAAATGCTTATCGTACAATTTTCATTTCTTCTTTACATTGCTAGAAAAACGTTCCGAGTGGAAAATCCAAATTTCTGGAGAACTTTTTTTGATGCAAAATTAATTCTATGCTCAAGCAAACAATTTTAGAATAGAAAAGTTCGCGTGGAACATTATGGAAAAATTTGCACATTATTGTCCGTAACTTGAATATTGAATGTTTCGAGCAAATGAATCAAAGTTGACTTTGATTTTTTTTGCGACGTGAAAATTAATAATTTCATGTTTTTGCATGATAGGATAGAATTCATTCTGTCGGAAAAATCGACCGCATTTTTCAACCACCAAACATTTTAAAGTAAATGTTTTTTTTAGCCAAATACAAGTTACAATATCTTGTTATAACTCATAGTGATGTTTGATAGATCAACTCAACTGGCAAATTTTTAAATGCAGAGAACATTTTGGGTATTGCCTTTTCGGACAGGAACAAAAATGCAGCAAAACGTGAATTTTTCTACTACCGAAACTTGCTTGTCATATAATTTTTACATATAGAAAAAAGTTTATCAAGTAGTTTGCATTTAAATGTGTGCAAAAAGATATTCAAAGCATTTTTTCATTTATCGAAACTGTATGACATGCATTTTTGGTCACCCGGGAAGCTTATATATGTAAATACTAATAACTGAAGCTCTGCAACTTTGAAAGAATACTTTGATGATGTTTACTACTTTAATAAAATTTTTATAGACTTCGACGTAACTTAAGTTAGAGCTGGTTTCGAAACACAAATACACAAATAGCCCTTTAAAAACAATATAGGAACTTTAAATCTTTTCGATTATATGAGTGAAAAGTTTCGTCAAAAAATGTTTTAAAAATACAAGAAAAATAGACGAAGCGCAAGTATTTCAAGACGAGATTTTTTAGTTTTTGCTTCAATCTTTGATCTGTTTCGCTGTTCTTTTTTCCGAAACAAGATAAGTAATTAATTTGTTAGTTAAAACAGACAAAAAAATATGACATGCAAAAGTTGATAGGCGTGGAATATTAAAAAAGCAAAATACAATTAGTTTTCAAGAAACTATCAGTTTAACTATAATTTCTCCGATTTTTGAAGAAAACGGAATTTTGATGCTTATGTGATTTGTTTTCCGGTCAATTCAGTCAAATTTTTTATTCATATTGCTGAAAACGTACCACAAACTATTTATACTCGAAAAATTATCCAGCACAACAAAATCGTTCCAAATTAAATGGAGGCTTGCTAATCGGTCGTATTTTTGTGTTACTTGAATGGTCACACTTGATGTTTAATATTGTTCAAAATTGATAGTTTTTAAATATTTTTTTTCTCAAAAACTAATCGATATGGATTAAGGGGCAGTCGATTATTCAGGTCTTTGCCCTGATATGCGAGCAGTCTTGCTTACACATTAACTTAAACCCCGCGTGGAAAAACATCAAACACCAGTAGGCTGCCAGTCGCAGTGTAATGAAAGTATTTCACTCCAATCAAATATCAAAATTATTATTCAAGATCTGCGTTTTTGACCTTTAAGTTTCGAAACAAGTATCTACAGCCCTTTTGAGCAGCAGCTATTTTGAATAAAAATGTCTTATAATCCCGTCTTGATTTCTTCTTCCTGGTAGGTGTGATTTTTTAACGCACAATTTTGAATGTTTTCTAAAAGAACATTTGAAGAAACTTCAAACTTGATAAAAAGTTTTGACACCATGAACTCTTGTTTTGAAAAAGTGAAAAGGTTTTTTGTTTCAACTATAAAAAAGTTTTTGTTTCAACTTTGATTTGTTTCTGTTGTTTGCTTCCAATTTTTGTTTCAATTTTTAAGTTTCAATAGCGTGTAGCTTTAGAAAAAAATGTATAGCCCGGATCAGAAGTGAGTAAAATTCAGACAAATTAGTTAATTGTAACAAAGCCGCACGATCACGGGCGGATTTAGTAGGGGTGGGAGGGGCGGACGCCTCTTTCCTCTACAGAGATTCGACCCCCTTACCAACCAATAGACCCCTTCGGTATTATTTTTGACATCCATTTTTGGCCAGCCAACTCTAATATTTTTCTAAAGGCACTTTTGGCGCCAATATATACTAATTTTGAAGGGGAGCGCGCGACGAAAAAACGCAATTTACTGGTCAAAAATTTCGAAAAAACGGCCCTTACTTTATCAAAAAATTACCTACGGCGCAAAACGTAGAACTTTCGTCGAAATAGGGTCTTCCTAGTTTTCTGCGAAGGCTCGGAAAATCCATTTGGTCAACCTAAAAAAAAGTTGACAAAATTTTTGAAAATTTTTGAAAATCCGCCCACCCTCAAGAAAATCTGCCCCTACCCACACTGCTCATTATTTGTTAAATTTGTTTTGCGTATGGAGGAGACTTTTAGCGGGAAAAGTGGTAATTTTAATTATTTTTTCTTGTTTAAACTTCAACAGTTATTACATCTTCCAAAAACAGCAAAGTACACTCGTATGATTCAAAGCATTGTCCCGAAAAGAGCAGGCTTGTTCCTTTTGCCATCATCAAAGCATCAAAAGCCAAATATCTTTTTTTATATATGAAAATCTGCAATGTCTCAATTTACTAATTTGCTAGTGCAAACTTGAAATATCAAATTACTGCACTGAAGGATAATGATGAAAGTGTCTTGTTTAGTTTTTGTTCAGTCTGCTGATTTTTTAAATTACATAAAGGTTCCTCGTATCAAAAGTACGGTAATTAAAATGCATGAATATGAACTATTTTTTCAGAACATTTTCTCAGGCTCTCAGACGTATTCGTATCAATCAAATATTAGCGGTTTTTTTTCTGATAAGTATTCAATCAAGATAGTTTTAACAGAAAATCGACACTTCTAAAAAAAGACGCCTTTTATGGAATTCAATTCTAAAAATAACAAAGAAGCCAATGGTGTCGCATTTACTAATTACATCGAAATCTTCAATTGTTCTTTTTAACAACCTGTTAGCGTTTTTGCGGCAGAGCTTGTTAAAACATCAATCTAGAGTTTAACAAAAAAAGCATGAAGTTGTTTCTACAATTCAACTTTGATAAAACTGTTAAAAAAATAAAAGTCGGACGACCCGCCCCATTTCATTTCAGGAACTCG